AAAGGACGAAGAGCGGAACGGCAGGACGACAGTAAGAACGGCAGCAAGGATGGTAGAGAGAGCATCTGAGAGTACCTTGACTATCAAATGCTCGGAAACGGAGGGCCCGCTGTCATTGTGGATGGGGCGACGTGGGTGCTGCCCGCAGGGCCAAGAGAAAGCTCAAGGGGTGAGCCGGAGCGATCAGGCCGCTGCAACACTCGCCGGTGAAGACGCCGCCCACTACACGGAAACGGCAGAGTTTGGGGGCGATGTTGGAACTTGGAATATCTCGCGAAGGGATGTGACGACCTGAGAAAAGTGTCTAATCGGCTTACCTGAATCCAGGACCAGTTTCCTCAGCGCGGGTTTGATATTGCCGCCGGTTCCAATGAGAGTCGTGCGAAATGGGTTGCGACACAAATTGAGAAGCCAGAGCTCTGGCAACGGTAGCGAAACGGAAGAAGGCTCCGTTTCGAGATGGCGATGTGGTCGTCTAGGGTAAGGTAGCCCCTGTTGGTTGACGAAGCTTTGATACGGCCAGGCGAGCGGTAAGGAGAGCAAGTCAATCGACGATGCGACTTGGATGCCTTTGTAGAATCTGGCCGTAATCCTCGACAGTGGCCAGTATCATGGCACGCTGTCACGGTGTTGCCGGACGCGGTACCAAAATGATGAAGATGCGGCAATCTTCCACCAGGCCAGCAAGGATGTTCAGGTAGTGGTGTGGGTGGACACTGCTAGTGCTTGCAGTGCGATGGAGCAGTCCAAGTCGCACAAGCAGACGTCGCCGGCTGGGCAGGGATAAGCGGAAAGCGACGCAAGACCGGTTGGTTGTATGTGTTGAAGATGAAGGACGACGACGGCGGCGAGGTCAAGATCGTTCTCAATCGGCAGGTGCTACGAAGAAGGACGACGAGGATGGAAGAGACAGCTGCGGGAGACGGAGTGTACTCCGGTCTTCAATGACCTGGAAGAATGGGGTTGACTCAGGAAGGGAGCAAGCTGTGGCGAGAGGAGTCGGTCGGTTAGATGGAGCTCTTGGACAGTCGAAGCACCGATCAATGAGCAGCAGGTGGGAGGAGGCCTGCAAGGGAGGGTGACGAGCGGATGTCGTTGGGGTAAGGCACGCAGCCGGCAGGCGATGAACGTGGGAGGGACGGATGCGTGAGTGTGAGGTGCGATGAGGTGAGGTGAGGTTCAGACACGACGGGGTAAGGTAAGATCAGGGCAGGTCGTTGTGGGAAGCCGAGGAGGAGCTGCTTCCACAATTGCATTACTTGAAGCACCCGGTTTCTACGTTTCTGCCTTTCTGCAAGTGCAAGTGCAGGTGCAGGTGCAGGTGCTGGCGGGAGTGCACTTGCAAGCAAGCACATACCTACCTCAGACTGGAAGGCAGGTGGGAGGCAGCTAAGGCAATTAGCTGTACCTCCCGTCACCTTCCATTCTCTGCACACATGGCAACAACACGACTGCCAGCGGTGAGTGCTGCTAAGGATATTAGTGCGGGTGCAGGTGCAAGCGTTGCCAGACACGGGATGGCTATTTCCATCCCGCCTTCCTACCTTCTCAACATCGCGCAGAGTTTGCGGATGCTGCTTCGCAAGGGCAGAGCTGTTTGTATGGCTGCACCCAAGCTTCGCCTTCACCTTTTCTGTGTGTGTTGGGCTGTCAGAGCCTGCCTCGGAAGCTGCTCTGCCAGGATACCTACAGGAAGCTACCCTGCCCGAATTTCCTCTTGCAGGCTCGCCTTGCTGCGCAAAGGGTGAAGGGAGAGGGGCCCAGTGCTCTCGACAGGAAACGCTACCGCTGGGCCCCTGTTCCTTCGGATGAAAGTCTCCGAAACTGTACAAGACCTGGCTTGACGCTCTGGTCGCCGCTCCTATCGTTTGCTGAGGTGCTCTGCTGAGTCTGCTCTTGTTTTCTGCTGATTGCCTTCCCTGCAGCAACTCAGCCCGCGCAGTACGGTACACGATACCAGATGCATGTGTGGGATGCGAGCTGGAAAGCTACACTACCTTACCTTGGCTGGCTAGCTGCCACTGCTACTGGGTATCTGGGCCTTGCTTTGCTTCTCTGCGGCGTTTTCGGCATTAGGACATGTGCCAAGGTTCGGTTGATCATGTTTGGTAACAATTCCATGGTGTAAAAAAGGTTACCACCAAACATAGCGCGCCACGGCCCAGATCAGTCTCAAAAGCTCAGTGCGCTGCGCAGTGCCTATCTGCTGCAACGTGGGCCGCTGAGCTTTCTGACGCTAGAACCAGCCGGATGCCGGACACCAGATACCCCCTCCCGCTCGACCTTCCGTGCTCTCTGTCCAGCACCAAGCAGCCGCAGCCACAGCCAGAGAGAGAGAGGCATGAGACGGTTTTTGAGGCCAGGGAGTCCCTCATCAACTCTCCCTGGAAGGCTCGAAGCCCTTCCCTCCCACACGACAGATCCCTAGCGCTGATGACTGGCTCGGTGAGCACAGGCCAGTAGCAGGACAGTGACTGGCAAGAGGGCAGGTCCGGGAGGTGACACTGACATTGCCCGGGAACCAACGCATATGGAGCTGGATGGCCCGGGTCTTGTTCCCTTTGGCTGAGGGCCTGCGTGGCATGCCTAGCTTGGCTGGCATCCATGGCTCTTTGGCGCAGGGGTGGGAAACAGGGGGAGCTCGGGAGCGCTAGGTGGGGAAGTGAGGGGCACCTCACACCTCACACACACACACACACACTGGACACCACACCACAAAGCCCAGGGCAGCTCACCACCACCGAAAACATGCCCCTCCGCGTCCTACCTAGCCAGCTGAGGTGCGCTTGAGCCTGCCTTCGCCATTGGCGCACCACATTCTGCCAAACCTTCTTAACCCCGCTGCTACGATAACTGCGACCTGCCTCAACCCACGGAAACAGCACGTCTTCTGTTAGTGTTCTTCCCTGCAATCCCCTGTTTGCCTATTCCTGCTACCTGCCTACGCACTTACTAAGTACGTGAGCCTTTTGGCCAGGCCCCGTTTCAAGCACAACTTCTCACGTCTGTCTACCCGGTATGCCCGGCTTGACTTACTGAGAGACTACGGGATCGCCATCACTCTCAAATCGACATCGACCGATGTTCTGGATCGTCAAGATGGGAATACGATGCCAGATCGCCGATGAGAAGCTCCGAATCATCGCAAACCGGGGCCATGACTAGCATCAAGCCCCGTCCGCCTGCTTCGACCCATATCGCGGCCCGAGAACGAAGCAATTCCAACCTCAGTTTACCCGATATGGGAGCATATCCTGCTGTACTGTGTTAGTTGAATGCCTTCTCAGCCGCCTCGAGCAGCAAGATGCCGCCCCGTCAACATTGAGGCAGAATCCGTACCTTTCCCCACCAGACAGCCTCGCAAAACGGTGGCCCGACTGGGCCAGACGCAAACAAACAAACAGATCAACCGTCGGCGTCACACAACAAGTTCGTGGCTGTCGAAGTTTCCAGAAATCCCCTGTTTCTGTACCATGATCTCCTTACCCAGCCCCAGCCAGGCACCGGGTCTGTACCACCCAGTCCCTGCAAGATGTGATACTAATATGGACCCTGAGATTGTCACACGCTCGCCTCAGTCTTTCATCAGCTTAGACTGCCAAGTGCCGAACACATCGACGAACGACAGATGAGAGATGCAACTCAATCGGCTGCCGTTTGTTCAGATGGTTGCGTCGCGTAACTAACTTTGGGTCGCAAGGACGGATTTGGTAAACGTGATGGAGTGGGAGTGGTCACTCAGCCAGTATCAATGGTGGGGTGATTGCGGCACCCATCTCCGACTCATGTCCGGCCCTGAATCGGCCCCGGGCCAACCGTCGCAATTCCATTGCCTGCCGTGTCCAACATTCCAGGTTTCTTACCAGCCCGCCTTGCACCGCCGAGACCGTGTGGTCCCTGATCGGGAAAGAGATTTACGTCCCCTGCTTCGACCGCCCTCGACACGTGTATGCGCTTAGAAATGTTCTGCTAATAACGAACCACCCAAGTTTTTTCTTGCAGTAACTGAGGACCCTTCATGCATTCTTGACCTCAGCATCGACGAAGCATGGCGTCAGAAGCCCGCAATGAAACCGGTTGGACCCCAAGAGATCCGCACGGCGCAACCTCCGAAGTTCAGAGACCACTGATATTTGAGCTTCATCCTTCGCACTCTTGGCTCATTGGCATTGAACCACACTTCCTATGTCCAGGAATCCAGGCTCGATGTCTCTGTTTGCTATCTACGCGTCTCAGATCGGGCTCTGTTGTTAGTGAGCCATCACCATCATTGAGGAGCACTGCTCCAGTGCTGGATCCTAATGATCGACCGGGACCTGCACGCTCGTCCATAAAAACAGGCTATAGGGCTTTGAGTGACGTCATCCCGGTTAACTGAAAAGTTTTCGAAAAAGGCAGCGTCTGATGTGGCAGCCAAGGCCCACCAGATACCACTTTGGCGAGTCGTTCGGAAGGGGAAGCCATCAAGATGAACCATCCGGAATAAGTCTTCCTACCAGTAGCTGACTGACCAATTGAATGCGGACCAAGCCTGATAAAGCGGTCAATTGACTTTCGACTGGGGCCACATAATTCTTGAACCATCTGCACCGATTCCCCCTCGGTGGGAGCATCGAAAAGGGCCTGGCAGACGAGGACGGGATACGCGATCCAAACCACCGTTAACATAACGTTTTGTCGATCACTTGGAACGGACCATTCGTCGATGGAACCCTGAAGGGTCCTCCTGCTTATCTAATTCAGGTAATTCGACCCCGCTTTTCACCTGACAGCGCGATAAGTGTTGGCGCGAGGGGCCAGAAACGCGACGGCGAATCACCCCTTCCCCGCCATCTTGACACGACTCTACTGCGTCCCTGTCCTGCACGATCCCGCTGTCAGCACAAACAAGCTGTGGGCCAATTATTTCTCTACCTTGGGGTCGATCAAACCCTTGCTTTCTCATACCGCAGCGCACCAACAAGAACGTAGCATCCGCCAACAAAGCCAATCCTCTCAAGATGGCCGAAACTACCTCTACCCCGCGTATCACCGCGCAGTACCTTGACAACTACGTCGGCAAGAACGTAATGCTCGTCGGCAAGGTCGTCCAGCTGCGCGGCGACTCGGCGGTCCTTGACGCCGACGGCAACGTCACCGCCATTCTGAACCGCGTTTGTCTATGCCGTCTCTTGTAACTTGAAGCATCGAGACATTAACGCGCTTTTCTCAGGACGTCCACCTCACCAATGGCAATGGTGCTCAGATCGTCGGCAAGGTCAACCCCGACCTGTCCATCAAAGTTCTCTCCTCCAGAGACCTAGGACCTGGCGTGGGTAAGTCGGCCTCGCTTCCTGACCTTTGGCTCCATGTCTCGTAGTCTCGGGCAGCAGTACGCAAGCATTCTCGTTGAGCTTCTGCTCATCCGAGAAGCTTTTTGCTTTATGCCGCCCAGCCCCCATTCACTCAACGCTAACATCATCTGCAGACTACTCACTTGCCTCCGCCGTCGTAGAGGCAACTCACCAACACAAGCCCCTCTTCGTTTTCGACAATTGACCGCCCCAGCCGCCCGGACGCGTGTACGGGAGCAAACAGGTCACTATCCCCGCGACGCCCCGTAAATACGCACCCGCACCCGCACCCGTGACCCGGCCGGCGACGGCGACGGCATCCGCCACGCAGCAGCAGCAGCAGCAGCAGAAGCTACCACAGAGAGAGTTACGATATCATGAACCGCCACCCATCCCCGAAACCCCTTCGTCTGATTTCACACAAAAGCATCACCAGCATTCCACCCCGCAAACGCCCTACTCACAAGCACAGAGACGCTATCCCGAAACGCCTCCAAGATCATCCCAGCGTCAACGTCAACATCACCAGCAAGAAAGCAGTGATGCGGGAACATCAACCACTCGACCACCGTCCCGCCCATCAGATTTACTCCCAACTCCACCATCCCCTGAACCGTCTAAATCTACCACCAGGTCGAAGGACACGACTTCGGGACGTAGCCACAGGGACGGAAGGGAACGCAGGCACCGCAGGCATAAATCACGCCCAAAGGAATCCGAAGTCGGTGTTAATGAGGTTGTCGACGACTCGGAGCTTTTGGGGGCCATCCTGGACGGTATCGGCCGAATGACCGTCGGCACTGTCGCCATGCGTATGGACGATGCTGGAAGGTGGAGGATCCGTCGGGACTCGGGGGATGATAGTACTTAGCATCTGCTCTTGGCTGTGTCTAGATCACGAACACAAAACGTCTTGATGATAATGAACAACTTTCTAATCTCATATTTGGGGGCTGAAATCCTATTCAAGCCCGCGTTCATGCCTAACTGACTACTACAAGAAACTCCTATACACCAGGTGACCGATATCCTGACACTGCCGGCTATGTTTACCTAATAGCCTTCCTCGTCCGCCATCAATTCGTGGACTGCTTCCACAACCCCGAGGAGGGCTGTGTCAGTCAAACCAACTTTGATCCCTTCATCAACACCGTTCCTTGTATTCCACCACGCAGCGGCTCCGCCATCGCTGCTTCTGGTGCCATCCAAATTCCTGAATGCCATTTTTATTCTCGATGTTACCAACTCCCCATCCTCGGTTCCGGTCGTGTCGGTGCTCTCTCGCTCCCTGGAAGACACATCAACCGAATCATATTGCCCATCTCCCCCTTTGAGGCACCGAATTTTGCGTGTGAAGCGTTCGAGCACCGCGACCCGTTTCTCGGCAGCTTCTGCTCGCCCCTTCCACATGGCACACTCGCGTTTTGCCGAGCGTAACTGTTCGCTGAGCAGGCCAACATCCATTTCGTCTCTCGTCTCCAACTGACGACGAAGCGAGGCAGTCTCCTCCGTCTTGGCGTCTACTTGCCTTTGCAAGCTGCGAATTTGCGCGTACAGCATCGAGTTTCCTGCGGGGCTTTCCGGGCGTGGAGCCATTGTGTATTCCCCAAGTTGGCGCAGTGATGGCGTAGATGGAGGCCGAGGAAAGTTAACATGCTGGGCAACAGGTGGCTGTTCAAGGTGTCGGGTCATTGTACCCAAACTTCGTAGGCCTCTGTCATCATTCAGATGCGGGCCTTTCGCGGCAGACTTGTGGTGATTTTGGAGGTCGGGGGTTTGTCGAAGCTGGCAGAAAACGGGGGTTTCTGGGTGAGCAGGCGCGTGTTCAGGCCGGCGGCCAACTTGGCGGACACTTTTGGGTCGACTGCTCAAGTTGAAGCTCTGACGGTTTTGCTCCTCTTTTGTCTTTCCAAGGCTCCAAGATGATCCCATGGATGCCAAAGACTTAGGAGACGGTGTCTCAAGTCTAGAATGAACGAGATTTGGCGCAGTCTCGCTCGCTCGAGACGCCGTCATCGGCGAAGGTGCATATGACGAATTCATAGAAGCCACTTCAAACATCGCGGCGATGGCCTTGACGCTGTTAGGCTTGGAGGTTGACTTACGCGCAGGTGTGGACACTCTAGATGTTCCTCCGGATGTCCGCGCTGGCGTCACCACCGGCCGCAAAGAAGAGGCTCGCGACCGCTGCGCAACCTCCTCCGCTTTGGACGCCAAGCTTTTCGGTGACGACTTTCTCGTATATGATTCATTTACATATGGTAAGCCAGCATGCGATTCATCTCTCTCCGAAGGTATCTCGACGAAGCCATTCCGGTGGTGAGTGTTGATGTCCTTATCTCTTTGCAAAATCGTCTGCAAACCCTCTTTCGGGCAAGAATCGTCTGCTGGCAGCTTGTCCTATAACGCCTTGGCCGAGTTTGCGCCGTTATTTCGAGACCTTTGAGGGACTGTCATTTCAGCGCAGTATTCCTTCGGAGTGATTTGAATGGAGCTGTTGTCATCGAACTTCATGTCAGTCTCGTCGCTATGCCGCGGGGTTCGAGGGTTAGGTCGCTCGCGTTCGAGATCCGACGTTCTAGGCAGACGGACGTCGCTGTCTGATAACCACTTCCACCCTGCCACTTTCTGGAAACCACGCGTTTGGGTCCCTGCGTTCGCAACCACAGCCTTCTGCACTGGGACATTGGGCTTTGAATTTTCCTGAGCCACGTCGGATCCACACAAGCTCCTTGCTGTTGGAGTTGAAGAATCACTCCCACTCAATCTGATGATGGTTCGAGGACTCATGTCATCAGGTACGATGTGTTCTCTCTTGGGCGTTCTTGGTGTTGAGCTGCCGGACGAACCACCGCTTCGATCAGTTCCAACAAGTCGACGTAAAGCTGTAGAGACAAATCCAGCGTCTTTTCCTCCGTTTTCCTCCGAGACTTGCTCCAAAGATCTCTCAGACAGACGGGTATTTTGCCCATGGCCAGTTTCGCTGGCTTCCTTGATGTTCATGGTATTTAACGGCTCGCTTGACCGGTGGACTGTCGATCTAGATGAAGTTCTCTCCGGAATGAGCACGTCATGTATCCGAGCATTGTTGTTCGTGTGCTTGTCGTGGCGTCCAACTCTCGTCGGTGTTTGTAAATCGGGAGTACTGCCAGATGTAGGATGAGAAATTTCGCAGCGATTCCCCTCTGGAGAGCCGCCCGTGATCGACGATGTAGAGACCGCTGCCTGACTTGCTTCCTCTGAGGCTCGCTCCGCCTTTGTACCTCTGGTCCTCGTGGAACTGGTCTTGGAAGATTTTATCTTGACATTGCTTTGCTTGCTCCCAATTCTCTTGACACCATGATTATTCGCCGTGGATTCTTCTGCAGTGGGCGACAACGAGTGAAGTGATTGTTGAGGCGGAAGTCGGTTCGAGGATGGAGAAAGAGACACTTGGGGTCGGACCTTTTGTACGTCAAGTTTGTGCGTCGGACCGTCGGGTATCGCCGAACGTGCCAATGTCCCTATTCGTGTTATCTCGTTAGTCCAAATTTGACCCAGAGAGAAGGCTGGCCTACTGCAAGTTGGTGTGGGAGAGTCTAGAGTCGGAGATCCATCCCGATCAATCGTGGCTCCCGGCGTGGCCGACTTGCTTTTCCATCCTCTGGGCAGTCCAATTGTAAACGGGTCGGAGCTGGAAGACCAATGTGATTTGTGACGGGCCTTTTTGTCCACTCCTTGATCAGTCCTAATAAGTATTCTTAGATCCCTCATGTTCTTGACGACCTCCCTCCAGTTGGTGATGAGCATCTCCGCGATTTCGTTCGCGACATGGACCTTGTTTATCGCTGGAAGTGGTGGTTCGTCTTGTGCTTTCGCTGTGCGCTGTCGTTCTCTTTTTAACTGCGGCGGCGTGAGGGGGAAAAGTAGAAGACCAGCAGACGGGGTTGCCAGTTTCATGGTATAAGAATCTAGAAGATCACCAACAAGCAGGGGTCCAAAGACGATGCCTAATGCGGTATATCCCATGAGATCAGACGTGGGAAGAGGATGACCCCGCTCGTCTTCGCGGGCTGCCGTCTCCCCAGCACGGCCGATGACAGAGAGCAGACCAAATACGGCGCATATCAGTTCTCGCTGGAATTGTGATTTGACAGTACCGATTGCTAGCGCGATGAGGCGGGCTCGAAGCTTCGTCTCTTTCGTTCTGCTTAGCTCGGGCTCACCCCGAAGCTGGCATTGTATGGCCACCAGTGCATCGAAAAGCGAAAGTGTACCCAGGATACCGCCAGGGAGAACGGAGAGGAACTTCTTGAAGGCTGACGCTATGTCGTGTATTCCGACGTTGATATGGGTCGGGAGAGACGCGCAGCGAATCGTATTGGTAACTTCTTCACCAGCCTTCTCGTCGCAGTAGTAGTCGAAGATTGTATTGACTCCACGGATTGACCCTGGAATACGAAAGATTCCGCGGGTTTCCGGTCCTGTTCACTGTAAGGTTATGATCATGTGCAGGGAGCAGGAGGAAGAGCATACCATACTGGACCAGATATTGAGCCGTTGCTCTGAAGCAAGTCGGCAACATGAGAGAGCTCGGGGCATACGGCTCTGGCAAGTAGAGGAAGTTCTTGCCGCTGAGCCTGACCATCGTCTGAAGATCAACGATTCTGCGTTCCGGTCTCCTATGCGCAACCATATTTAGAGCAAGATCGCTGATACTTCGCCTGTGCTTGATCGACCTGGATGGTCGTCGAGAAATGGACGGCTGTCCAGATGAAGGTGAACGAAACATTCGCGACCACCACCTCCGCTTTTCTGACATGGCCGCAGGTGTCGTTGGTCGCTGGAGCAATTAGCCTCTTGTTGTCACACTTTGGAATATTCACTTACTCCTTCAAAATCCCCGACAACAAGAGCTCGGATTCCATGCTGTCATATCGCATTAGCGATAATCGACCATCGGAAGGCACTGCGCTAAAGCAGACAGGATTTTTGTTACCTTTTTGGCCAGACGATTGTACTCTTGAACAAAAAACTCGCGGCTCTCGACCACATCGGTGTCTGGGTACAAGGCTAGGTCCGCGGCAGAGGAAGTCCATGTTGCGCTGCTTGGCAGAGCCCGGTTGCGACGGTTGTCCCTGCTGGCAAGTGCGGGAAGTGTGGTCGAGTTGGGTACGCGCTGTCGATCGGGGCCATCATGTGTTGAGAAAGACATCACTGGCAGTTGAGGAGGTAATGTGCTCGTAGGTGCTGTGCTAGGCTTCTGGCTCGCATGGGTCACAGTCTCTGCATCGCGAGACGCGGCCGAGGATATCGATGGGTCGGGGCGATAATGCTGCATCGCAAAGGAGTTGCGCAAATGAGATGGAGACTGAGTAGGTGAATTGGACGCAGCCAGCTCTGCTCGGGATACAAGTTATGTTATGCCAAACCGCTGCAAGCTTGCGAGTGAGGTCGGAGTGGCTGATCAAGTTTGATGGGGAGGCGTTTGTGCCTGGATTCAGGCTGTCCAAAACAATAAAATGGCTGAAAGAAAGTTGTCATCAGTCTGCTCTTGCCTCGTATCCCGAGAGACGCGACAGCCTCAACTGGATCGCACCTTCCTGGCCCAGCCTACCTGGATAGCAAGATGATATTGCGAGCCAGCCACTGGTGACATTGCCTGCGCCGTTGGCCACAAGATGCGCCTTCCCGCGCAAATGACAAACCTTAACGTAGGGTGCAAGTTGGAGCCCGGGTGGCATGATGCCAGAAACAGACAAGTACGCTGAGGAGTTGATATCGACATGTTCTCATTTCGTGATGCATCCAGGTAGCCGACTGCTCCATATAGACCTTCCAACCCTCTATAATGAAGTGAAAGAAAATGTTAAATATGCGCACCATCTGGTATTCCTCCCAGTTACGCCCCCATACGCCTGGCACATGCTCATTACCATGTCTACCGTGTCCCATGTCATTCCAGCGAGGATCCGTCGCTCTTTGGTTCTATGTAAATTCCATTTTTCTTTTCCAACTTCATGTTCATTTGGTGTCGTCCTCCTCTCCGTACAGAAGAACGTACTTGAGGATGTCGGACAGGGAAATCACGCCCACGAGCCGGTTTTCATCATCCACTACGATCAGACGATGCACTCGTGACTTGCGGACAGTGTCGAAGATGGAGTCTAGCCTGTCGTCAGGGCTGCATGTGTAGATTCCCGGGGAGTCATCGGGTCTCCTGCACAAGGCCTCGCCAACACTGGAGGACAGCTCCTCATACGCGCCACCCTTGATGCATGGAATGATGTCGACAGCCTCGAAAACATTGAGCAGCCGGTTGTGCTTGTCGACTATAGGGACACATGAGATGTTATACTTGACCATCGAGTCTACAACGTCCAGGACGGAATCGCCCATCTTGGCCGTTGCCAGCTTCTTGTATGTGCCCAGACCGATCTCCCTCAGCGACTTCTTCAGCAGCACCGTGTTATGCTCGTTGTTGACGGCGATAAACTTGAGGATTCTATACTGCGTAATGACGCTGACAACCATCTCACGGCCGGTTTCGTCGTCGACGTCCACGAGAGGAATTCGTCGTGCGCGGGTCTTGAGCATCCGGCGGCAGGCCTCGTAGAGTGGTCTCATGGGGTTGACAGAGACTGTTTCGAGCGGAGATACGCCTATAGCCTTCTCGATATCTACAAAAAGCCGTTGGTTAGTGGTCCCCAGCAAACGAGCCTGCCCTTATCACGAACCTCGCAGGCTACTCAGGCGAAACTGTTCCAGCTTGCTCATCTCATCAGGAAATTGACAGTAGTACTGAATGACGTTGATGTAGTCGGTAGCTGTCAGAAGACCAGCGAAGGTCGAGTTGTGCGAATCCCATAACGGCGCGGAAACGATTGCTACGGCGAAAGTCAGAATGGACAGCTCGGCGCATTCAGGCGGCATGACTCGTACCATTTTGAATGAGTATGTTGAGACTCTTCTTGATCAAGAGATCATTGTCGAGGACGATGAGACGGAAGGATAGCGGCAGGACATCGTAGCTGGTCCGAACTTTGAGGAACTCGCGGATCGCTTTCTGGGCAGACAAGCATAATTAGCCACGGGTCTTTGCGGTCTAAACGCGCCCCTCGCGATGGCGGCGGGCAGATGGTAAAGCGCAACCCCGCATGCGCAGAGGCAGCAGGTCAGGGCAAATTCGGCATGACGCTCGAGGGGAAAACGGGCGGTGGAAGGGTGTAAGCAGCTTACCAGACCCTGCATTTGGTCCTTATCGAGAGGGCTCGGGGGCTTTTCAGGCATTTTGCGAAGCACAGAGGGCGGTCTTGGGCGTAGGTAGGATGAGGGCGTGACGAAGGGAAGCTCGTGACCTTGTGGTCTCGCGATGGACGCAGCAGTAGCGACTACGGGCGGTTGTAGTGGACCAGTACCGCTAGGCTGTTGCTGATGCGACATGGACATGGAGCCAGGACCGGCATTGTCCTTCGACGCCGAGGACGCGGAGGAGGGGTCGTCCATTGTGTCGTCGTGCCGTACGAGGAGGGCTGGCTAATGGCGCGCGTGGCCCCTCTGGACGTGGACGGGACGGGGTACGGGGGAACTGGTGTGGGAGGAGAGAGCGGGAGACAGGAAACGGGAGACGGACGGCAGAGGCGGGAGTTCAGAGACAAGGACGGAATTTTGCGGTCGAAGAATCGGACGGGTTGGGCTGGAACTGGAACTGACGCATTGGTGATTTTTGTTCCCTTGTCGTTCTTTTTTTCTTCCAGGTTCCTTCTCTGTTCCCCTCCAGCGGTGGCAGATAGTAGAGGTGACTAGCAGTGACAGCGGCGGCGGCTGTGGCAGGTGGCAGCAATGGACACTCAGTGACAGCAGCAGCAAGTACCTTTCCACAGCCCTGGCGGCAGACGAACTGACGACTGCATCCCTCCTGTCTCACCTCGCCTGTGGCAGCCATAGATAAGGATAAGGATAAGAGCAAGGACTGGATCTACGAATACCTGGAGAGCCTACCTGGAGAACAGCCCGGACGAGCACCGATGCCTAAGACAAGGGTGGCGTCGACCGTCTGATTCTGGGGTTTTTGGCTTCTGACGCAGGTTGGCGCTGGCGCTGCCGCTCCGGCGACGATGACCAGTCCAGTGGAAGTCAACGAAGTGATGCTTATAATTAGCGCTTGGCACTGCAGCTTGACGGGTGCAGCGGCTTCAGTTCCGAATGACAAGAGAGGATGATGACGGTTGTAACGGGAGCCGTCGCCATTGGAGATGGCTTCAATGATCCGCCGGCTGCTATGGGCGGAGAAGATTACACGCGCGAATGAAGCACACACACGACTTGAGCCACATGCAGACAGACATCGGCCATCGACACTCCAGCGGTAGTAGCTGCTCCTTCCGGCATCTCTTTCCTAGGTAGGTCATTGAATCAACTGTGCAGCGCCCGACGAGTAGCGGCTGGAGCACAATCTCACTGGGACGAGATCACTGCTGCATCTTGCCGTGCGGTGGCCAGATTCCGCGCCGTTGCCATCCGACAGTCTTTCTTTTTCTTACCCCGAGCAAGATTGTCTCTCCCGGATTGATATCTTGCCAGGGATAGCTGCAATGCGAGACATGCCGACAAAAAATTCCCCTCATGAGTGCCATGCGACACTAGATTGTTGTGGAAAGGCATCACATTGCGATTTCTCATTGCCCAAATAGACTCTATGCTGTCTGTTATGGAAACCCATCCATGCCTCATTCAGCCAGCGTCTCCGCGGGTAGGCTCGCGTGATATTGGACCCTGGAGGCTCCTGTGCATTCAGGGTAGCAGCACACGGGCAAGTCATCGGGTCATTTGAGGGGCAACATCGCGGGTAGAAGAGGGTGTGCTCCTGTTGTAATGTTCGTCTGAAGCTTCTCTTGCCTGGCAATCGTGCAGGCGCCATGGAGGAATCGGCGTACCAAAGCTTCTCATGAAGCACGTACGCAAGATAAGGTCTTCGCTATCATGTGCCGATGTACATTCCGGCTGTCGCAAAGGGGAAGGAAAGCAGACGTCGCTTGTTGATAGGTTTCTAGAAATTGATGGCAGCTCTCGAGGACACAGTAGAAGCCAGAAGGTAGGCTCTCCCACATTCTCCAGAACGAGTTTGCATTGCTTGCGATATGATGTCTTGCTGGATGACATAAGTCGACTCCGCGGAGGATGAGCTTCACAAACACAGCTTGTTTCCGCATGTGAATAAAGAAGGTGGGTGGTCCGTGTGTCTCGAGCTCGAGATGTGGAGGACGGTGAGGAACGGTGAGGAAGCTGCGGCAGTGCCGCCCGAGGCAGGAGGAGACCCGACATGGAGAGAGGAGGAACAGGCGGCGCGGAGTGGTTGCAACTTGCGGTCCTGGAATCTGGGCAGAGTGAGGCGGATGCGCCTCTCCAGCATCCTCTTCTAACCGGGGAGAGGAAGCCGCCCGCCAGTCACATCACGAGTAAAAGTCGGCAACGCTGCAGGTACGCTCAGTACGTACCTGCTGCACTGGGTCACCTAGACCCCCTAATCCCGACGGGGTTAGCACGACCAACTGTGGAAAGTCGGCAGCTCCACAGAGAGTTCCACAGTGTCACGGTCCTATCACAACCTGGAGGCGGCTGCTGCTTTTCCAGAGTGCCAGTCCCGTTGCTGGTGCTGGACCTGGTGGTGCTCGTTTTTTTTCATCCTGTGGTGTTGTGCCTGTGCCTGCTCTTGCTCGTTGCTTGGTGACTCGGGAAGCTACCCAAGTTAGGTGCTTGTACCTTGTCACTACTAGCCCCACCACGTTAGCCTCACCAAGGTCCTGCGCTACTGCTGTTGCTACCTCTCTGCTGCTGCTGCTGTTGCTGCGGCTTGGGCCTGTGCTCCGAGAGACAACTGGAGCAGCCTCCCGACGGCACTTTCTTCCCAGAACCTCACTTGACCGATCACATCGTCCATCAACCGACCGACTGTCGGGCCTCTTCCGCTGGGCAGCAACGTACCTCTAATTCGCCGGCTATCGCTCACTATCGAATTTAATCCGTTCGTCACGTTTAATCGACAATACGCTTCTATCATCGACCCGTCGGAAACATCGCAGGCTCCGCATCCCTCTGGTTGGGCTGCTAAAACATTCGTGTTTGCGAAAGAGGATCCATCCAAACAAAACAGCCCCAGCCGCCCCCCGAGACCGCTACTTCGAAGTCGAGTCTTCATATCATCGACATCGGCCTTTGTTGCCCACGTCGGCCATGGGAGTGTGTCAATCGTGTTGCGGAGGTATGATGCGGTTCACTGCCACATGCTGCTGACCAGCCAAGCTGATGATGACTGCACAGGGAGATCCCGCGATGGACTCTACGAGCCAGTCCTCGCCGACAGCGAACGGGAGGCTGTCGCCGACCTCCTCCAGTACCTGGAGAACGTACGCGTTTTTCTTTACCCACCACACAGCTGAACCTTCATACTGACTGTGTTTCAGCGCGGTGAAACCGACTTCTTCTCGGGCGAACCTCTTCGAGCTCTAAGCACTCTCGTCTTCTCTGAAAACATCGATCTTCAACGCAGTGCTAGTCTTACTTTTGCCGAAATCACAGAGCGAGGTATGTCGAACATTTTAACCGCCCGAGAAGAGCTTCAAGCTGGTCCAACGAACCGTGCGATGTAGCACCTGCGGGCGTCTTCGTCTACGTCACCTGCTAATGCCAGTGCCCGTTCCGTAGATGTTCGCGAAGTCGACCGCGATACCCTCGAGCCCATCCTCTTCCTGTTGCAGAGTCCTGATATCGAAGTTCAGCGCGCCGCCAGCGCAGCCCTGGGAAATCTGGCCGTCAACAGTGAGTCTAGCTTCGCGCGCCTGGTAGGATGAGCACTACTGATCTGAATCGCCAGCCGAGAATAAGGTTTTGATTGTCCAGCTCGGTGGACTTACGCCTCTCATCAGGCAGATGTTGTCGCCAAATGTCGAGGTGCAATGCAATGCCGTCGGCTGCATTACCAACTTGGCCACACATGAGGAGAACAAAGCCAAGATTGCGCGGTCCGGCGCGTTGGGTCCTCTGACGAGGCTGGCAAAATCCAGGGACATGCGGGTTCAGAGGAACGCAACTGGAGCTTTGTTGAACATGACACATTCGGGTACGTTATCGCCAATACTATCGACATGTCATTCTCGCTAACTTCAGAAAGATGAGAACCGCCAGCAGCTCGTTAACGCCGGAGCCATCCCCGTCCTGGTTCAACTCCTGTCCTCGTCAGACGTTGATGTGCAGTACTATTGCACAACCGCTCTCAGCAACATTGCAGTCGATGCTAACAACCGACGAAAACTTGCACAAACCGAATCGAAGCTTGTCTCTTCGCTCGTCACTCTCATGGACTCCTCGTCACCCAAAGTTCAATGCCAGGCAGCGCTCGCACTTCGTAACCTGGCTTCGGACGAAAAGTACCAGCTGGATATTGTGCGGTCAAATGGTCTGGCTCCGTTGTTGCGGCTCTTGTCGTCGTCTTATCTGCCCTTGATCCTTTCCGCCGTCGCCTGCATACGCAACATCTCCATTCACCCATTAAACGAGTCGCCCATTATCGAAGCTGGCTTCTTGAAACCGTTGGTGGACCTGCTGGGATCGACCGAGAATGAGGAGATTCAGTGCCACGCCATATCGACGCTGAGGAACCTGGCGGCCAGCTCTGATCGCAACAAGGCACTGGTCCTCGATGCTGGTGCGGTTCAGAAGTGCAAGCAGTTGGTGCTGGACGTCCCGGTTACGGTCCAATCCGAGATGACGGCTGCGATTGCTGTTTTGGCTCTTAGTGATGAGCTGAAGTCGCACCTCTTGAACTTGGGTGTCTTTGAGGTCCTTATTCCCCTCACCCATTCTCCCAGCATTGAGGTGCAGGGCAACAGCGCTGCAGCCCTCGGCAACCTCTCTTCAAAAGGTATGGTTCCTACCACCTCAATCAAGGTTTGAGTGCTAATTCATCCGCAGTTGGCGATTATGCCGTGTTCGTTCAAGACTGGAAAGAGCCTAACGGCGGTATCCACGGATACTTGACGAGATTCCTCCAGAGCGGCGACGCGACGTTTCAGCACATAGCAATCTGGACTCTGCTCCAACTGCTCGAGTCGGAGGACAAGAACCTCATCCAGCTGATCGGCCAGGCCCAGGACATTGTCGACCAAATCAAGGAGATCGCCAACCGCCAAATTGAGCCTGACAACGAGTTCGAAGATGACGACGAGGGCGAGGTCGTGAACCTGGCACAGCGTTGCCTGGAGCTGCTTGGCCAGAGTGGCTCAAAGTCTCATATCGAGGGCTAAAGCCCTTTTTCTCTTCAGTATGACGGGTCTCGCTTTCACTGTTTCGTTCCTCCGCTTCCCTTCTGGGGTACTACTACAGGATCAAATGGCTCGGGGGCTTGGGTTGTAGGTGTTATGGCGTTGATGACTATGCAGAATGAGTTCCGGTCGGTACCTTGCGTGTATTTGTTTTGGCGTGGAAGCATTTTGAAGGAGCGTTTATTTTGGCGAGCCTATTCCTGACGGACGACCCTTTCCGCCGTCCTTAGTTTCAAGGTACGGCATGTCTCTTGAAGAAGGACGACCTAACCCTTTTACTTTGTATTAAGCATTATGGCCCGTCAGTCGGGTTATCCAATTTCCCACGTTACTCGGCCTGTCGCCGGGCTTGATGAACTTTTCCTTAACGCCACTGGCCTTCCTACCTCGTTGTAATTAGGATCAGACCTTAGAAGACCAAAAAACAACTCACTATTCGTGATTAATTCTCATCCATTAGTCGAGCAAGCCCTCGTTGTGCCCCTCGTGAGGATGATCTGGTTGGATTATCGGGTTCATTCCTTATCATCATGTTCGTCTTCTGGATCCACAAGGCCATTGCGGAATACCTGACGGGTACTCCAGGGCAAATGTCTGGCAATAACTTTGCCCTTTATCAAAGCCAGTGGTACTGGTCCAAACATCCGTGAGTCTCTCGAGAGCTCCAAGTTGTCGCCCACAATCCAACAGTGACCTTGGGGTACCTGACAGATCGTCAGTGTGAGACTTTCGCCAACTTCATAACACAAGCTGCCATACCTGCATCATTTTCTGGGGATAGGCATCGGGGCTTCCCACGAGGACGTAGTCACCTGGCATGCCGATTACGCGTTTGATGCCTTCCGCACGTTGGAATATGGGAATTCGATAATGCACCAAGTCTCCTACAACAATATTGCGGCCGTAGCGGTAGCGTTTGTCAACAATGATGTGATCACCGGCGATGTCGAAAGTCGGCAGCATTGACGGGCCGGCCGCCGGTCCCCATTCGAAGCAGTAACTTGTGAAGACATGGGCAGCGGCCATGGTCTTTCCGGCAGCGAGAACCAGGCGAATCGGATGGCCAATTATGGCTCTCGCCCATGGAGGCAGCATCGCGTCCGAACGGGGAAGCCGTGTGTTTGTTGATGCTCGTCTCAGGCCTGAGAACAGCTGAGGAGTTGAGTGTCACACCCTACGGTGATGAGGAGACCACGGCGAACCCGCCGGCGCGAGAAGTCGGAGCTCGGACCCCACTGAAAGCTCAGAACCGGGACTTGATTGGCGGGGAAGCTACCTACCCCATGTGTCTTCTACAATTTCATCTCTTCGCCTCCCATCATCTGCGCCAGCTCCCACCTACCAAACGTGCTGAAATCAACAAGCAACAACCCGCCTTGTGAGTCAATCGACGATCCAAAGCTCCAAAACGTTTTCAGGAGACGGGTTGCCAGCATGAGGGTCGCACGATGCTTGTTCAACAGCAGGACAGCCCTATATAGGGTGTTCATCTCGCCCTACGAAAAAGTTGAGGTGCTATCACGATGCAGCGCTCTCTCTGCTCCCGCAACCAGAGTCCTTCCACCCGTCGCCGCGTCGATACCGAACCTTTCACGCCACGCATCCATGATCCATCGATATAAGAAGCGCGGAACGGGCCGCCCAGACGAAAACAAGAAGCGCCTGATAGAAAACGACAGGATCCGCGACAGGAATATCATGGTTGTAGACGAGGACAACAAGCTGGCTGGTCCGTACGCCACTTCAAAAGTCCTGCTATCCCTGGACCTCGAGAAGGAAACGTTGCGACTGGTTTCCCCGGCCCCCTCGGACCCGGGCCCAGACCAACCAGCCTACGCCGTTTGCAAGATCATAAACATTCAGGAGGAGAGAGCCAGGGTGCGCAAATTGGAGCAGGCGAAGAAACTTCAGGCAAAGACAAACAAGACCAAAGAGCTGGAACTCAACTGGGCGATTGCGTCGAATGACCTCAACCACAAGATGAGGCAGTTGAGGACGTTCCTAACCAAGGGTTACAAGGTTGAGATCTTGATGGCCAAAAAGAAGGGAAGCAGGATTGCTACAGCAGATGAAGCGCAAGCTCTTGTTCAAGCAGTCAGAGACGTTGTGGAAGAGACCCGCGGCGCCAAGGAATGGAAGGCCTCGGAGGGCCAGCCACTTAAGGTGATGAGACTTTACTTGAGTGGCAAGGCTGGCCAGGCTCAGGCTGAGGATGGCTCCGAGGCGTCTGCCGAGGGGCAGTCCGAGACATCTGCAGAGGACCAGTCCGAGATTTCGGCAGAAGCTTCATCAGAGACTTCGCCTGAGGCCTCACCCGACGAGAAGCAAGCAGCCCCTGCCTCTTGAGCGTTTGATGTCTCTACCACATGCATGTAACAACAGGCGGAGTCAACAGACTTGTACAGGAAATACAAAAGGCGGACAGAAACTGTAAGATGGATGATGTTGATCTATAGACCACCACTAAAAATTATAGAGACTCTGCGTTCCATTTAACCCGACTGCAGTGATTGTGTGGTGGGAGTTTGCCTGGGGCAGATGGGTGACTGAGTACGGATACCTGATGGCCTAAAAGCTCTCATCATTATCAGATGGAATCGTCTGATAACCAGATCTGATTCAATCAGTCAGGACGACCAAATGGCTGCAGAAGCCTTGGGCCGCAGGCGTGCTGTTGGATAGTGATTGGCGCCACAGCTTGGACGTCATTCCCCGCACGATGCAGTTAAGCTTTAGCGAGCTTTTAGCGCGGGGCACCTAAGGAGTCGCATCCCGCCGCGCAAACCCCTGTGACTCAACCCTCCAAAACTTCTCAGCCTCTCCGATCAGATAACTTCTGGTGACTTGTCCCACCTCGAACGCGATCAAAACTACCTGCAGAAAGTCGGAACTCACCTCCTAATCAAATAGAAACCGAAAAAATCCACAACCGAGGACGGAGCAGACGTTTTCAATCGACCCTGAGACCAGACAATGGCGACGGAGACACCAAACACCCCCGCGCCGCCGCCGGCCGCCGAGGAGAAGAAGAGTCAACAACCCCAAAAGAAGGGCGATGCCAAAAAGGGCGACGCCAAGAAAGATGCTCCTGCCGAGGGAGGAGAGAAGAAGCTTTCCGGCGCCGAATTGAAGGCCAAGGCGAAGGCGGAGAAGGCGGCGAGAAGAGCAAAGGCGAAGGAGTCGCAACCCGCACCACCAGCCGGCCAAGGAGCTCAGCAGGGCGGCGATGCGAAGGGAGGGAAATCGAAACAGAGACAAGACGGACCACAAGGCGTCGGTGGTCCTGGTGGAAAGGGCGGTCCAGCGGGAAAGGCTGTCATCGCCCCTCCCAAGGAGAACAAACCCAAAGTCCCTGAGTGCTTCAGTCATCTGTCTATGGCTAAGAGGATACACATGACGGAAGTTGACAAGGACGTGCACCCCTCCGTTCTGGCGCTGGGCCAGCAGATGAGCGCTTTCGCGATCAGTGATAGCACCACGAGATTGGAGGCGACTTTGCTGGCGTTCAAGAAGGTTGGTTTTGTTTGCTCCGAGAAGGTCAAGACTCTCTTTCTCACGTGTGGCAGGTCATCGACTCATACACAACACCTCCGGGCAACACATTCTCCCGCCACTTCACATCACACATTTTGAACCCCCAGATCGAGTATCTCTCGGCATGCAGACCCATGTGCTTCTCCATGGGTAACGCCGTGCGCTGGCTGAAGCTTCAAGTCAGCAAGATCGATATTGACCTCCCCGACTTCGAGGCCAAGAAGCTCCTTTGCGAATCCGTCGACAACTTCATTCGCGAGCGTATCGAGCTGGCCGACTTTGTCATCGTCAAGACGGCTGCCGACAGCATCGAGAACGGCGAGGTCGTCCTGACCTACGCGCACCACCCGCTCGTCGAGCGCGCCCTCCGTCAAGCTCACGCCGACGGCAAGAAGTTCTCCGTCACTGTCGTCGACGACCCATTTGAGAGCACCGGCCGCGAGCTCGCCAAGAGCCTGCGCGCCCTTCCCGGAGGCGGTGTCGAGGTCTCATACTGCCCGGACCTGAGCGCCATGCGAGCCCACCTGCACGAGACATCGCGCGTGTTGGTCGGCGCGGAGGCCATGTTCAGCAACGGTGCCATGTACGCTCGCGCGGGAACGAGCGACATCGCTATTGCGGCTGCAGACCAGGGTATCCGCGTGGTTGCGCTGTCGGAGACCATCAATTTCACTGAGAGAGTCGCAATGGACTCCCTGACGTTCAACGAGATCGACCCTGAGCAGATGACTGCGGACAGCTTCCGTCTGCTCTTCGACACCACTCGGGATCGTCACATTTCTGTTGTTATTACGGAGTTGGGCATTACCTCGCCTGTGTCTGTGCCGGCGATTCTGAGGAAGTTGGAGGAGTTGTAAGAAAGAAAAAGGTGGTAGATTGTGTGAGGCAGCGACGTGTGTTCCCGAAGGGACACACCGGGTTTTGGGCGCTTCTAGTCCTTGGTTTCTCCCGTAAATAGATACCAATCCATGCGGACTCAGAAAGAGACGCATCATAGACATTAGCTTAGCAAATGCTCATCGCGATTTGAAGAGTTCATGTCTGGCAGTGAGACGTTGGTGACTTTTACGGCGTCAATTAAGCCTCTCTCAGCGCAATATCTACACAGGGAATCCGCTCTCTTTAAGAGAATATCCCATACGGCATCGTCCTAAAAACTTTCAAGGACGCCCCGTGGCACAGTTCCCAGCCTTTCCAGCTTGATACAGGTTCTGGCGAATCCTGAGCCGTCGTCATGCTTAAGCTTCTCGAGTATCGTTTCGTCGCTCTACCCGATCCTCGAGATAGACAACTCCTTCCGCTCTATCTTTTTCTTTCTTTTTTTCCATTGTCGGTAAATTTCGTCGTCTATTGATCAGCCTCCTTGCGCGCCGCTGCCCTCGCGCGCTTCTCGAGCAGAATCGACTTGCGCTCGTTGAGGAAGGCCGTCTGCCTGTCGTCGACGCCCTGGAGCCAGTAGCCGAAGCTGCCACCGCCGACCATGTAGATAGGGTAGACCCAGAGGGACTCCTTGTTGAAGAAGGGGCGCATCTCGATGCCCATTTGCCAGAAGCGGACGGCGAAGCCTGTGGTTCTTCCGTCAGCAATGCTGTCCTCAATACCTATTTTCTGTTCTCTTGAAAAGGCCGATAGCAACTTCGCCGTCCTCAATGGCTCTCGGAAGCCGATCGGGGTGTGACGGAACGCAGGGAAAGGGCATCACGCACCGAAGCCGCTCCAGAAGGCGATCCTGCCGACCATTGTCGTTTGAGTTGTGAAGGGGTCCGGGAAGGGTTCGAGAGGTGGTCAATTGACGGAAGGGCCGGTTCCGCCGATCGTTAGATAGCTGGTATCTCGGGTTTGGTGGAGCGTCGGGTTCGATTCAATTGACTGAGGTGGTGATGGCAGCTTGGATGAGTGGTCTGTGGTCCGCGTCCCCGGCCGGGCGGGCTGCCCGCTGGGGTCGGCGGAATAATTGCAAATCGAGTTTTTCCGATTCGATCGCTGGGTGAACGCTGGACGGGGGTGCTTCCAGCGCTGTAGACCCCTGAAAGTATGGGGGTTTCGGCGGTTCAACTCCCCTGGATGTCAAGACTTTCTTTCGTACCTCCCGACCTAAGGACAGGAAAGAGAAACTATCTCACAGGAAACTTTTATGACAAATTATTCGTCTGATTTTGATATGGTATTTTCAGATATGTCTATAGCCCAAAAGGTCTTCTCCCTACGCTTGACAGCACGCCTCACGACCTGAACACATGCGGTAAAGCTTCTTAGTCAATGAATTCAGATCTAATTGTCAGCGTCCGATATGGTGTAGTGGCCAACATGATGCCCTCTCATAAACTTGAGAGGTTAGGCATAGCCCCGAGTTCGATTCTCGGTTTCGGAATTTTTCTTTTGCTTTTTCCACCTATCCTCCTAAATCGTTTTGTTTGTATCTCCCACGTCGTTTTTTCTCACAGAGCCTCCGCTACCTGGTAGCTTTTTCTCTTTGCAACAATCAGATGGATTTTTAGCACGCTGGCAACGTGGGTAAATTAAACGACGGGTATCACTGTTTTTTTCCAACCCCCTGAGCAGATTGCTCACATAATACGTAAACGTCTATACATACACTTCTACAATGCGCCGCCAACAGCCTGTGCGATCCACATTGCTATCCTGACGTTGAGACCGACGCGGCGTTCAGGCTTAGAGAAGTCCTCGCGAGTAACGCGCTCAGCGTATTCTTGAAGCCATGTTTGCTCTTCGCCCAGGCGCTTCTTGAGGTCCTCGTCCTTGGTGAGAATCATGGCGCCCGCTTCCAAGTCATGAGAATAGCTGCGTTTTGTGTAATTGGAGCTTCCCACGACGCTGATGGACGGGTCTTTCTCCCCTGGCAACGTAATCCAGAGGCCCTTGGCGTGATAGGTCCAGCCTTCAGGCTCACCAACGGTACCTTTGCGCCATTCCTTGAGAACAATGGAGTCGTCCAGCTTGCGCTCGTGGACGGCGCGTACGAAGCGGCGAGCAAGAAGGGTATATGCGCCAGGCAGAAGCCCAGAGACGCCCGAGGAGCCGTAAAAGCCATTAGCCTGCTGGGAGGCTGTAATGACGACGTTATTTTGAGACGCTGTGGAAAGCAGCAGTTTGGTTAATGACGGTGCAGGGTTGAAGTAGCCTGCAGTAAAAGTCCAAGATGAACCTGCGTATTCAGGCAGGGCAAGTGTGGACAGGACGTGCGTGACAGCGGGAAGCTCGGTAGATGTGTCGGGTTTCATCAACTGCGACAGTTGAGCGAGCATATACACTTTAGTGTCTTTGCTCGCATCCTGCGCGGCGGTCTGCCTGGGAGAAATAAGGGCATGGAGAGCGGGAGTGGTTGTGCTGATGAACTGCTTCGGCTCTTCCAGAGGGGAGGGCGCCGGGTTGGACTTTGGCCAAGTCAAGACAAACCCAGCGGGCTCCTTTGAGGGCTCGACGAGGAAGCTGAAACCAGCTACTCCTTGGTAAATATTCCAGAAGTATTCGGTCACCTCTTTTGAGGAAAATAGATGGTAGCGATCTTGACGGTTAGTGAAGTAGTCGTTAGAAAGATTCGCCCTTAACTCTGTTAGCTATCATCTGGAACTGGGAAGGGACATTAATACCCAGAAAGAATGATTTCATCGTCGATGCCATACAGCTTCATATGCTGCAGGCCCCATCCTTCGTTGATGCGTTTTGGGATGTACTTCTTTCTCACTCCTGTCAAGTTAGGCGTGTGGTACATTCGAATCTCTACTCTGTCTGGACCGAACTCGGTGACCAAAGGCGCAAGTAGTGAGGCACATGATGGATTCGGCTCCTCTCGAGTGCCTCGAAGCGCATCCGTAAGGATGCTCACCTTAAGCTCAGGATTGTTCCGCAGAGCTTCATGCAAAGTCGCGATCTCAAGCTCCATCAGCTGTCATTCCAGGCCGAAATGGGCTCTCAGTGTATCTCACCAGCTCCTTCTCCGTCTTTCCGATGTACAGGGTTGACAAGAAGATCCTGCTCTTGGCGCTGCGTATCCGCTCCTATCGCCGAATCAGTCTTCCGCTCCGAGCTTGAAATAGTTCTCTGCGCCGCACACCTTCAGAGTTTCGTAGAAATCGGTCGGTGTCTTGATGATTCGGATTTGGGAGCCATTTATACTGAAAGACGGCGCGATCTTGTCAAGCTCATTCGCAAAGGGCGCAAGCATGCCTGCTGCACTACCGGAGCTCGAGGCCGCTGGAGCACCGGCGGCGGGCATCGCAAATCGTCGGCATTGCGGTCGGGACCGGGTGACGTTCGTTTGGGCGAAAGGGATCTTGAGCTTCGTGGAGCACCGCGAGACCCCGCGGACAATCATGGCGCTTTGATGGACCGAAAAACACTTATTTTTCCCTCGCCATGAGGTTGCGCATTCAAGAAAGAGTTCATCTAAAGAATGCGAACTTCGAGACCCCAAAGACCAGGATTAGTGCATGAAGCTCCGTCATTGGCGGCGGGATTCACCGGCTCCAGCGAGGGAGCCTCTGTCCAATCGCCATTCAGGTTATGTAATCCCAGCTCCACAGCGGTACCTGCGTCGTTCAACCTTCCCGAACGTCGAGCCTTCAATCATCGCCGACGACAGCACAGCTTCTCGAGGTCAATTGACCAGCCGCCGCCATGTCGACCCTCCCGAGAACGATTAGCAACCTGCGCAAGGTTGGAATCAAGGCATGCAACAACCTCCCGCCCCGATCACGAAGCCGCCACTGACTTTCTTTTGCAGGAATACTTCCGCCAGCTTCTGGTACATCCGCCTCCGAACCCCGATCGCCAGTTGACCCCTCTAACGCTCGAGAAATTAGTACATTGGTGACACCAAGCACGGACGCTTTGTCGGCGAGGACAAGGCCGGTAACAAGTTCTACGAGAACAACGACGAACTCCCCCGTACGAGACCCCTCCGATATTGCGCAATGGGTAGGATGAAGGCTGACGAAGGAACTGGGTAGTGCGTACACGATGGGTGGACTTTAAGAAGCACGATTACGACTCGGCGCAGGTTGAGCCCGGCTGGCACGCGTGGCAAGGCTTCATGGTCGACAAGCCCCCCACGGAGGACCCCCTCCTCCAGACCAAGACCCGCAAGTGGGAGCGCCCGGAGCCGATTCCCAACCTGACTGCCACTAGAGGAGCATTCAAGACGTTTAACACGTGAGTTTGTTTCATTTTCTTCGGGTCTTGATGTGGCGGGTTGCTGATACTGTCTCCGCAGAACGAAGCCAAAGATTGCGAGCTGGGAGCCCAAGGCTGTTGAGAGGCAATGAGCGCTGAAAGTGAGGGATGAATGTACATATGCCAACATCGCTCGACGCAATTTCAGAGTTTTTTCGCTTTGTGATCACAGCACTTGCTTGTAGTGTTGCTTGGCGTCCGCCGTTCGGCGGCTTGGTCGGGTACCCTCAGTGGCTGTTCAAGCACCAAATGAGTGATGATAGCAACGGGATTGGTGTTATTGGGAACGCATCGTTCTGATGATGAGTGTCTCGAGATTAGCTTCGCCTCCAACCGGGGCGCTCGGTACTGTTGACACATACTGTTGATGACTGGTATTACTACCTGCATCGTCGATGCTGCTCAAGGATCCTACAAGAATCAAGTTTCAAGGACAGTTCAGCTGCTGCTTGACGAATCTTCCGTCGCGAGGTTTGAAATCCTATCAGAACCCTCGGTTCCATCAACAGAACTCCCTTAAGTGAGATGACTATACTGGGTAATTGTGTTTATATTGGCTGGGTCGTCTGGTAGAATTCATCCATTACTTGGAGTCTCGATTTGTTGCGACTCTGACGACACCTACAGAACGCTTCAAGACCTACTTGCTACTGGGTCTGCTAATTCTGCTTGGTCTTTTCAAAGAGGGCCATCATAACGCAAATAGTCAGGGTTGAATTATTCATTGCAGGCAGCAGGAGGCTGCGGTGACACTCGTCAACTACCATTCATCAAAACCTACTCCGATCAAAGTCGCCGCCCTCATGTATCCCACACGCTACGAAAAGCACCTCTCACTCTGGCTTCCTCCCGTAGATAGCGTAACTTAGGAGTGTTAGTCAGTGGAATCATGAGGGCAGAAAAGTACTCCAGGGATCGAGGGTAGCTTACATCGGCATGTATGCATGCATGCTCTTGTCTTTCAGTCCGTTCCGGACATCGACCAGGAAGGCCTGCACTTCCTCTTTCTTCCAGTTCAGCGCTCTGGTATAGGCAGCCATGGTCCAACCTTCAATTTCTTCAAGATTGTTGTGGAGTGACCAAGTGCCGATGAGTTTATGCTTCGGGTCTTTGGGCCACGAATTCATAGGCCACTTGTACTTGGTCATAACGATATCGACAAAGCCAACTTCCTTCATGACGTCGACTAAAGACGGAATGCTCTGAAACGGCCGGCCCAGAATTGCACATGCCTCTCTCAAAAGCTTACCGCTTGTTACAACGGCGGAGTCAGGTCTCAGCGTGTTGTCGTCTGACTGAAGCTGGCCACCGACCTCCAAAAGCTCGAAGTAGCCTCCGGGGGTAAGATTACTGAAAGATCCTGTAAACATCTTGTAATCATGATATGGTGCGGAATCTGAGTAACTTACTTGAAGGAGTTCTGGATGTATTTCTCCCAATTCGAAATGCTCGATGTCATGAATCGACTATGGATGTAGTCGAAGGGCTGGGTGTACGCCCATGGTTCTTCAACATCATCGACCTCAAATACTACGTTCGGTGGAATCCTGCGAAAGTTTCAGGTCATGTTCATGAGGATTTCCTGCGAGACAAACTTACTCCGCTGCTGGGGGAGAAAGGTCAACGCCAAGAACCTGTGTAAAGATGCGTTAGAGTAACAAACTCCATTGATCTAAGATCAAGCCGATCCTCAATTTACCTCTGCATTGGGGTGGGCATCTCCGAAGTCGATGGCCCACAGCCCAGTCCCAGTGCCTATTTCAAGCACACGGTTAACCTTGGAGTTCTCGTCGTTTGGCGGTGCCAGACCAAGCTTCCGGTCCAGAGTGAGGAGACAAAGCTCATGTTGGAGGTCTATCTCAATTTAATGTCAGCCAAATGACGAAATACACAACATCGTCATCGCATAGGGGCGCGTTAGAATCCCACCTAGTCTCTCGGTCTCCTTCTCGTCATTCGGATATTGATATTCTGTCATCTGTGAGCTTCAAAACACCACATCAATCACAAGCTTGGTTGACCTACTTCCTTCCTTGTACCGATGGTACGTTCGCCCATTCTCAAGTTGGAAGTTCCAAATGGAGCTAGCAATACTACTAGCAGTCTGCTGGGAAGAAGCAATACTCTACGTGAAGTGTCATTCAACAGCTTGAATGATCGTCAAATGCAGTGGGGTCGACTTACACCACCAAGCTCTGATGAGTCGTCTTCGGCGACCTGTGGAAGTTAAGCGCTGCTGATGGAATGCGGTAGCTATTCGTTGCCTGCAGATAATATTTACCTCAGCATCATCGACTATAAGTTGAGTCTCGTCAACATGACGAATATCGGTGTGTTCACGTCCTGCAGGAGTTACAATGTTGGGCGTGGACATTTTGACGTAGCGAGATGCTGCTTGCTTTCTATGAGCTTGGCGTTCAATCGAGGATAGCGAAGTCGGATAAAACATGCGATCAATTTGCTCTTTTTATCGATCTAGCTGATGCGGACTCATCTACCCCTCTTCTAAGATGACTTTCATGCACGCCAGAGGCAACAATGCACTTTGCCGCAAAATGCAACGATTTATTGCAGCTTCCCAAGCAGAACACCAAGTCCGACGTGTATCCGGACAGAATTGGACCCTTACCCGACGAAATTCTTTTATGACAAGCTCAGATTTAATTTCATTGGCTCATTGAACGAGGCGCGCTTAGCCAAGCTCGGGGAAACGATCTGTTGCGTGGGTTCGAGAAATGCTGTTGGATCTACATCCGTATTGAGATTGTCCGGGGACCAACAGAGGAATCTCGATCATACGATAGTAACCCGCTTTGCCGTAGCAAGCTGACGTCGCCTGTGCCGAAAGTAAAGAGACGCAAAGATACGCATGAGCAACGGTTCCCATGTCAGTTTGCTATACTTGATGGCACAATGGCGTGCGTTGAAGATCAAACGGAGAGATCGGGAGATAGGGCGAATAAGGTAATAGGGCGAATAAGGTAATAGGGGTTGTATGTTACCGCAGCTGCCTTTCTCACACAGGTGAGTACAAGTCATCTTTCCAGCCTTTCCTCTTTCGAAACCTGCCCACCTATTGCAGTACTTGCCATCTCCACTTGTTACACAACAAAGAGACTTGTATGGCATATCTCAAAACAAATTCATTTACATATCAATGCGGAATTGGCCTAGCCCTCACCTGGTGGTAATCATAGCGCATCCGCGATGTTAAGAGCTCATGCCGATATTCATACCCTTCCTTCAGAACCCGTTTCCATCGAAGTTTCCGCCGTTATCTTGTGTACTGCATGAGATGTCCTTCTTCACTACGGCTTTCTTCCATGAATGACATAACTTTGAAATGTCAGTAAGCAACTCGGCTGAAGCAGGGGCATTGCAGAAGACAGGGGAAAATACTCACATAGGCCACCATGCATGGATGGTCGTATCCTTCAGCTCCCTTCGCACGTCCACGAGGAACACCTGTACTTCCTCTTTCTTCCACCCAAGAGCCCTAGTGAAGGGCGCTATGGTCCAGCCTTCAATCCCATCTATACTGTTCTGATGTGCCCACATTCCCAGCGTCTTGTAGTGCGGGTCTTTAGGCCAGGTGTTTGACGGCCACTTCTCCTTCATGATGGAGACGTCGACAAAGCCGACTTCACGCATTACGTCGACGAGTGCCGGTATATCTTGGAAAGGTCGCCCGAGGATCTTGCAAGCCTCTTCCATGTACGTTACGCTCTTGATCATTGCCGCATCTGGCTTGAGGCTTCCGTCGTCACATCCGGGGAAGAGGTCAGTCTCCTGAAGCTCAAGATATCCGCCGGGCTCGAGGTTGCTGCGTAGCTTCGTAAGCAGATACTTTCATGCAGGTCACACCCAACGACGTACTCGAAGCAGTTCTGGATGTAGGTCTTCCAGTTGGCGACACTCGACGTCATCATCCGGCTATGAATGTAGTCAAACGGCCGACTGTATGTCCAAGGCTCATCGATGTCGTCGATCTCGAAAGAAACGTTAGGAGGCGCGCTGAAGTTGTTAACGACATGCCATCAAAGACATTCCAATGAAGGGTTGCAACATACTCAGCCTGAGGAGGGGAGAGGTCCACGCCAATGACCTGAATAATGACGTATCGATCAGCAAGTTCTTATTCACCGTGGGAGAGCGGCAAGCTTAACATACCTCAGCTTCAGGATGCAAGTCACCAAAGTCAATAGCCCAAAGTCCAGTCCCAGTTCCAACATCGAGGACGCGTTTGACCTTCGAACCCTCGTCGTTGGGCGGTGCCAGTCCCAGCCTGTCGTTCAGAGACAGGAAGAACAGCTCATGCTGCAGGTCTATAAAAGCTGTGAGTAAATATAACGAGGTCCATCTGGAATATGGTTACAAGCTAGAAAGGAGGAAAGCGAGAAACCAGGGCGACAGTACCGAGTCGTTCCGTTTCCCTATCATCATTGGGATAGTTGTATTCTTATTGTTGTCAGAACCTCACACCAAATCCGGTCTTTGGGGCGGGGGACTCACTTCCGTCCTTGTATTTGTGGTATGTTCGCCCATTCTCCAATCTGTAATTAAAGATGGACTCAGTAACACTTGTAGTCGAAGAAGCGATGCTCTGTGATACACTGTAAGTCTGAATGCGAAACTTGAACTATCCTCGCATAACATACTGCACCGAGATCCGAAGCTGCGTCGTCGGTGGCCTAGAGATAGGTTTGTCAGGTCGATCGTCTTGATCGTGATTTGCATGGTGAATCCATACCTCATCAGCAACAAGGGGAGTATCGTCAGCAGCTCGGTTGTCAGACTGCACATTCGGCGCAGGAGCCGATGTTTCGGTGGCTGCAGACATTACGGACGAATCAATGTTGCTTCAAACATACAGGCTTTCCCAATGTTCTATCAAGAAGGCGGAGTACAGAATCATGCGAGCGAGCGAATGCTGTCTATTTAATCTACGAACGCGGCGCAGTCTATACCCCTCTCCTTGGCCGAAAAGACACCCGTCTGTGTATGCAGGCTGGCGGCGAGTGTGGAAGACGTCGCGTTCTTGGACCCCAACTTCCTGAAGAAAGCGAAGGTCCGGCGATGTGTGGACTGAATCGGGCCATGATCCGAGGAAGGTCACCTGTTGCAGATTGTTGCCGGGCGCCATTGGCTAGAAACACCATGGGTCTGCGTAACCGAGACTGGCAACGCGCTCTGCTGCATATGCAAATCTCGTTGCCACCATTGACCAGCCAGTCTTGTCAGGTCAGAGAACACTGAGTCCGAATTGAGTCCTTCCGGGCCAAAAGAGCCGCTATGGGTCCGGCGGACGAACGGGGCCGGGTGCCGGTTTAGGGATATCCGGTCAAGGCCGAAATGTTGAGAGCAGAGCCACGATGGCCTACCTTGTGAAAGTTTACTTGGTTCTCCGACGCACACACACTTTGCTGGTTGTGTGAGGCGTAAGCACCTTGTCTGCACAAGAGCTCAGTAGGGTTCCAAATTCCACAACTTACACTAAGTTGCAAGCATAGAAAAGGTGTGAAAACGAAGATTATACCTCTCTGACGCAGTATTTTACCTTACTAAAAAGACTTTTCTTCTTTCGCTTTACGGTCTGAAAGTTTTCCTCCTCACCATCCAGCTTGACAGAACCAATACTGCCTGTCAGCTTGATACATCCTCTTCAACTCGAAAGAAGCTCCTCAGTCCACACGCTTCAAAGTCATGGCTCGAATTGTTTCTCCCAAAACCATCTATATCTCCCACGACGGTCGAGTCGTCGATCTAAGTGAGATCCCAGAGGGTGCAGGCAAGACGGCGGACGCTCCCAAGACCGAAGAAGAGTTTGTCATGATTGGTGATTTTTTCGACAACCACACTTCATCCACCAAGACTTCAAGCCCCTCCATCCATGAAGATGAGGAAGACGACCAGCAGAAGAAGGCCACCGAAGACAGTGACAACGACAGCGATGGCGATGAGACCATCGATGCCACCAAGACCCTCGCCCACAACCCATGGTCATCACTCGACCACGGCACCCGATGGGCGACCCCAAACTACCACCCGACAGCACCCAGCTGGGCAACCGTCATCTCTCGAGCCGTCTACATCCTGCTGTCTCCCTCGAAGTGGCGGACCATGTTGAACCACCTTCATCGCTTGGGTGATAATATCAGCATGTTTGACAGGGAGTGGCAGCACGAGGTGCTAAGAAACAACGTTCCCGAGCCCAGCCAGGAGCAGATGTTCCTCCGGGGCGTCTATGAGCACGCGCGCACGGTTCTAGACGCACAAGTCTCAAGCAAGCCAAAAGCGCAGGTCCTGAAGACCTTGTGGGCACAGAGGTATTCCAAGAGGTCCTTTGAGAATATCGCGGCGAAGGAACTTTTATATAGGATGTGGAACACATGCGACGATGCTTACACAAATCGCAAGAAGCGGGATCAGAGATCATTTACTGCTCCTGTGTATCGGGTTGAACGAGTGAGCCGAGGCGTTTATGTACAACACAACTAAAAACTTCTCAGTCAAGCTTTGTGTTAAGAAAGTTTTACGGCCCATCTATCAAGAGGGTACACAGTAGGATAAACACAGCAACAGCACTTCATCCAGTGCTTCGTCTAGTGAGGGGATCGCAGTCTAGTCAATCAAGTATTATCCCGAGAATCTGATAGCGTGATGGCATATTTGCCGTCGTGAAGAGTCTTATTTTCTGCTTTCAGCGTGATCGTGCCATCATGTGGACTTTGGTTTCTCCTCAGCCAACTCAGCGAAACCCTTTTCCTGGAGTTCCAATGAGCTGATATCAGGAACAAGTGGTGTCTCTGCTCCTTCTTGTGCCGCGACCTTGGCCTCACCAGCGATCACCCCCACCTCCGCCCCAGCATCGGAGCTACCGTCGCTGAAGTTCTGCCACGTGGACGGGTTGATCTTGCTAGGATTCGCCTCGCCCTTGAAATGGTACCCCCTCGCTCTCGGCCTGGTGCCGGTTCCTTGCGGCAGCTCCGCCTCGTAAGTGGCCACGAACTTTTCCGATACCTCCTCAAATTTATCGGAGCCCGCCTGCAGCGCCGCCCGGATGCCGGCGAAGAAGTTTGTCAGTACCTGGTGGTTGTGTATCTGCAAAAGAGTCCATCCAAGCATTTCCTTTGCGTTCAAGAGGTGGTGGACGAAAGCTCTGTGATGCGTCGTGCAGGCGTAGCATTGGCAGCCCTCCATCAGGGGTTCGAGCGCGGTCTCGTGGTCTGGTTGCCACATGTCGATACCGAGAGGTTGGATGCCACCGTCTGTCGGGGGGAAAGTGAAGGTGAGCGCCACACCGGCGTCGGAGATGGTGTTGAGGAATGGGACCGTCAGAATGTCTACTCCAAGAGAGACCTGGCGGAGGATAGCCTGCGGTGTCTCGGGAATGTGCAAGGACAACCGAGGCAGGTGGACCAAAGGCTTGTAGTTCTCCTCGATATCAGGCAACAGGTCAATGTCATAGATGGCCAGTCCTGAGAGCGAGTCGACAATGTCGTCTGCCAGATGGCTAAGGTGCTCCCATTGGATTTGGTACGGGACGGCAAGAACCGGCGCAAAGACCGAAACACCACGCTCCTTGAGCCTCTCCTGCCTCTTGGGACTCAGAAAGACGTCGGTCCACTCCTCAGTCCGTTCGGCCATGCGCACAAGCTTCTTAGACGGTGGCATGCTGCTCGTGTGGAATAGATCAGCGGGCCCAATGACGATATCGGGCCTGAGTGTCTCGACGGCGGCGGAATAATCATCAGTAGTGAGGTTCCGGAAGCCGGTCGAGGTGAAGATGGAGATGGTCTTGTTCCTGTTCCCTACTGGTGTTTTGATGGCCGGGTTTCGCCTTGGAGCTAGGACAGTTGCGATACTATCTGGCAAGCAGGTGAAGGCATGCAGCGGTCTCTGGTCCCCTGAAGGTATTGACAGTGCGGAAGGTTTCTTCTTCTCGATGACTGTGTTCAGTTAGCTTCGCGGTACATGCAGGATATCGGCGATAGACTTGCAGTCTTCGAGTGCCATGTAGGTTGCTCCAAAGGATGTGTGCTTTGCGAGGTTGTCGGGGGTGATGTGAGGGACAACACCTCGTGAGCCCGTCGCAATGTAGTTGGGCGTCTCGATGGGCCTTCGATTGGGGAGCACTAGCCTTCCCAGACGAGCTGCCGCCGCACCGTCGGCGGACTTCTTTAAGATATCGAAAATCATGTCGTCCTGTTTTCTCGCCCCGTTGCAGGTTGTAGCATCAGACATTTTGGCACATCACCAACTCCGATTTGCCAATGAGTCAACCTCAGAAGCTCAATGGCACTAGGTCTTTAAAGTCTTTGCTGAGACCTCTCGGAGCGTTTTTATCGTAACCAATGAATTTTTGAAGTATTTCGCTTCTCCGCGCCCAGATTTTGTGGACTACTTGCCAATATTCGTCGTTTCGGTAAATCGTCAGTTGTGGTGTTTCTAGCGCAATGAGTGAGAGAAAACAGACATGGCAGCCACACATGGAGTTCAAGCCACACGAGCTATCAGGGACGAGGCTTGGTCGATGTGGCTGGAGCTTCCCTGGCCAGGTGGGGCAAGTGGGCAAGAGATGGCAGCCGGGGTTTGGGGGAAAAGCTCGGGCGGATCCGAGTGAGGAGCTGCTGCAGGGGCAAAGCAACTCGGGCCATGGCAGACTCAACCAATCATGACACTTGACTCTTGTTACTTCGATTCACTCACGGCAGGGGGTTTCTTAGACTTTCCGGGGATTTTGAACTGGGTCTAGTTCCCCTGCTGCTTTATCCATCTTTGATGTCATAAGAGGTGCTCAGATTAACGGCTCGGCCGGCTTGCATAATCCGGTGCTTTATGAACGCCTTGACAAATAAGACGATCCTAGGAGAACAGTGCATCTGAACGCAATTCTTGGCAAAGCCCGGAGATTTAGATGCCTTATTTCACTTTCCAGCTATAATCGTCTTGATTACTATATCTTCAAAATGAATCAAACTAAAGGCAATTGGAGTTTAATCTCAACCCCAAAAACTTCGTTGTAAATGTCCATACATATACCTCTTCCTGGGCAACAGCTCAAATGGGCTCATCCCTAGGCTCAATGAGTACCTCGTTGACAGCAACATGCTCCGGTTGGCAGACCGCATAGACAATTGACGACGCAACATCCTCGGCATTCAAGACCTTGGCGCCCGAAGGCTCGCCGAACTTCTTAAGGGCCTCGGCGTCCGTAGACATGCTGAGCAGATCCGTAGCCACATTTCCGGGCTGGATCGAAGTCACCCGCAGACCTGTGCCTGCGGTCTCCAGACGCAGACTCTGCAGGGTGGCTTCGACAAAGAACTTGCTAGCAGAGTAGACACCGAGACCCGGGAACACCTTGCGGCCAGCGTCTGACGAAATGGCGACAATATGGCCCTTTCCGCGACCGAGCATGCCGGGCACAGTAGATGACAGGCAGTGCAAGAGACCCTTGCAGTTGACGTCGACCGTACGCTCCCACTCTTCGGTGTGGTTGTTGGCCATCATGGTGAAGTACATGACACCGGCGCAGCTGACGAGAATGTCAACCGGTCCAAGCTTCTCGGTCGCGGTCTGCATAAGCGACTCGACGTCTTCCCTCTTCGTGACGTCTGTCTTGTGAATGAGAACCTTGCCTCCAGTGCCGGCAAGCTTGGCCTTGACACCTTCCAAGGCCTCGGTGCGCCTTGCCGCGAGAGCGACGTGGGCGCCCTCCTTGGCGAGACCAGCTGCGACGGCTGCTCCGATGCCAGATGAAGCACCAGTGACTACGGCAACCTTGCCAGCAAGGCGGCCCACGTTAACTCTGGATGCCGCGCCGTTGACGTTGGCCCGACGCGGCGGTCTTGAAAGCCATCCTCTAGCGTAGAAGTGACGAGTGTAAGTCTCAAGCAGATGGCTATCGATCTTGGGACGATCCAGCTTGTACTTTGCCAGGACAGGCGCAGTGGCATCGTCCTTGAGGACAGTGACGGCCTGCAGAGTCTCGGCAGTGGGCATACCACCGCGAAGAATGTCAACGGTGAAAGGCACGTCACCAGCAGCTTTGGTGCCGAATCCTCTCTTCTTGGTCCAGAGCTCGACCCAGTCGTCCCATGGAATCTTGGTCGTTGTGTATCCAAGCTCCCGTAGGCTGTCAAAGATGTAGCTGGCCGAAATTGGGGCGGGATCGCCAAGGTGATAGACCAATTGGTTGGGGTCGGTATGGTTAGCGAGTGTTGTAATAGCAGCGCTCACATAGTCAACAGGGGTCATCTCTGCGAACCAGTTGTCGATGCCTGGTGCGGTCTTGAGCTGCAGAGACTCGACAATCAAGGCATTGAGCAAGTCCCAGGCGTTGGTAGAGCCTGTCTTGCTATGGCCACTGATTGTACCTGGGCGGTAGACTTTACAAGGCATGCCGCGGCGAGCAGCCTCGTAGACCAGCTTTTCGGCTACCCACTTCGTCTGTCCATAACCATCGATGAGCTTCTCGGGGACATCGTCAATGTCGACCATGGCGTCTTCGGACCATCCGGCCACAGACGGTGTCAAGACACCATTTGTGGAGATATGGTGCAGGGTGGCACCGCTCTTGGATGCGATACGCAAGATTTCTCTGGTGCCTCCAACGTTGGGGCTTCTCAAAGCAGCGTAGGGGTAAACCAAGTTGACAGTTGCAGCAGCGTGAATGATGACCTCAATTCGGGAGACGAGCTCGTCGTAGACGTCGGGTGCCAGACCGAGATGCTCTCGAGACAGATTGCCGGGCAGAATTTCCATTCTGTCAAGCATGGAGTCGTCCCAGATACCCAGATCGATGAGGTTCTTGCGGACTCTAGCCATACCTGCAGGCGCAGACTCCTCTGTCGGATCCGTGAAACGGACTAGGCAGATGATGTGCGCGGCGGTAGTCTCGATGAGTTGCTTGAGAAGGAAGGCTCCCAGGTAGCCGGTAGCGCCGGTAAGGAGCACCGTATCGGCATCATTCAGTTTGCGCATAGGAGTGCCGTTGGACTTGATGTCCTTGGGAAGCTCACAGTCAGCCCGGAGAACGGCGGGAAGATCAGACTGAACTGCGGCAGTGTGACCATCGCGGGCATCACGAATTGCCTTCAGGTGACCCTCCAGAGTCGGGTTGCCCGCAAGAGGAGCCAATGGAACGGGGAATCCGAACTCCTTGGTGAATCGATTTGCGAGGTCCGCCAGCACAAGAGAGTGACCGCCGATATCGAAGAAGTTGTGCTCTTCCGTGATGGCGGTTGCGGGCATGTTGAGGGAAGCAGCCCAAAGCTTCTTGACGGTCTCCATCTTGACCTTGGTATTTTGCTCCTTGTCTCCGTTGACGGCAACCTTGGGGGTTGGGGGTGGAGGCAAAGCCTTGAGGTCGACCTTGCCAGAGACTCCGTGGGTGGGAAGCTGCTCCAACTCAACCCAGAAAGTGGGGATCATGTACAGAGCCAAGTGCTCTGAGAGGATGCGCCTCGCGCCTGGGCTGTATCCAGACTCGTCAATAACGACATCTGCGCGGCCTCTCTTGTCTTCATTATCCCGCACCACATAAGCTACCAACTGCCTCTCGAGGCCGTCACCGTGAGAGGAGACAGCGCAATCGCGCACAGCCAGGTGCTTCACGACGGCATTTTCAACGGCACCGGGCTGAACGGTATAGCCACGCGTCTTGATCATGCCACCGGCTCTGCCAGTGATCTCCAACAACCCATTAGGAAGAATGCGGGCGAGATCCCCCGTCCGGTACATGCGGGCACCCTCCTTCTTGTCGAAGGGATCTGTGTGGAATGCCTTGGCTGTCGTCTCGGGCAGGTTCAGGTACCCACGTGCAAGGAGGTCTCCACCAACGTAAAGCTCGCCGCTGATGTTGTTGCCAACGCGGTTACCATCCTCATCCATGATGTAGATGTGCTCCGGATCCATAGGCGGCCCCACGGGGCAGACACGGGCCTCAAAGTCAATGAACGTGCTAATGTCTCCGGCCGCAACCTCGTGGGTCTCGCTGGCGCTGTAAACATTGAGCAGTTTGGTGTTGGGCAGAGCCTTCATTGCTCGACGGCACAAGTCGGTGGTGACAACTTCACCGTTGAGCCAGAGAGATCGCAACTCTGTCAGGCGGCTGCCCAAGTGCGGGTGACGAGACAGAACAGTAGCCAATAGAGTAGGTGTCATAAGAGTGTCTGTAATGCGCCGGGACTCAAGCAGGCTCACAAGAGCTGTCGGGTCATAGCTAGCACAGTCTGGAATGGCAAAGACCGTCGCGCCACGCAGAAGGGGCCGAAGCATTTCCCAGACAAAGAAAACATTGCAGGCCACCCTGTCGCCAGGTTGAAGGTCGCTGAGGCCAAATCTGAGGTCGTATGAGCGCACAGCAGCTCTGTGAGGGTTGGCGATGCCCTTAGGCTGGCCAGTTGTACCGCTCGAGTAGGACACAAATGCCAAACGCTCGAGATCATCGCTGGCGGGCAACGGAGAGAGTTCTGACTCCTTGTGTCCGTTGACGGCTGGCTGGCTAGGCTCGTCATAGGCGATGATGGGCACATCAGCCTTGATGTGGTCGACATGCTGTTTTTGAGTGATGACTACTGTCGGCTTCGCATCTTCAATCACATCGCGCAGCAACCCGGAAGGGTATGCCAGCTCGAGCACCAAAAAGGCCCCGCCTGCACGGAGAGCAGCCAGAGAAGCCACAACGTAGTCGGCACTCCGGTTCATGAGAATGCCGACGAGGTGGTCCCGGCCGACTCCATATTGCCGGCGCAAACGATCAGCGAGAGTCTGCGTTTCTTGGTCCAACTCAGCGTAGGTGAGGGTGCGAGTCTCATCCTCGAGAGCCACAGCATCTGGGGTGGCTTTGGCCTGCTGCTCAAAGAGGGCAGCGAGGTCCTTGTTGACGTCGAGAATAGGCATTATTACTGTTGGCAGGATATGTAGGGTATAAGGTAGGCCAAATGCAAGAAGATAAGGTAAGTATGAGGAAACGGTGGTCACTCCCGGGATACACGATAAGAGAAATAAGGAGGTAAATCAACAGACAGTGTGCCCAGGAATGGTGTAGCAAGGTTGCAAGTAGTGTAGAGGCAAAGATTTAGATTAAGCTCTAGGACTTTTATGAAGTGCCGGAAAGCTGCAGCGTTCAAAGGCTGGGAAGGAAATTGGTCACGAGACCAGGTTGCCAGAGCTTTTTTCCAACTTTAGTTACCTTGAGGGAAGGCGAGAATACCTGAATACAGAGGAAGATCCCGGGC